CTGTTTGCTGCTTTATTAATGTGTAAAATCTTGTTACAGAACATTTTACATTTAACTATATAATACAAGAGATACAGTATCATGAGTGAAATAATCAGCCGACACCATGACTGAGTATTTTCTCCTTGAATTGCAGTGAATCAGTGACAGTCTCATAAAAACAGATTCAAACAGCCAGGGTTTCATAGGTCACAAGCCTAAGGAACCAATCCTGTCAACTTGTGGGGACAGGGCTAAATAAACCTGAAACCTTGTCAGTACAGAGATAGAGTGTTTATATTAGCACAACCACTAACACTGTGTCAGTCACTGCCAGTTACACGCTAACAAACAACACAAACAAATAAAAGATGCTAACTGCGCTAACCGTTCTGATACGTCTGCTAGGTTCTGGTTCTGGTCTCAACAGACTCTTCATCTGAGTCTGGGTCTGACTGAGTCTCTCTGATGTTTCCTCCTCTAACCATCTTGATACTCTTTGCTCTTTTACCTGTCAACCTGGAGCAAGAAGGTGGTGGGTGGGGCACAAGGCCTGATACAGATTTCTCAATGAGGAAAATACAGTTTTAATGTGGAAAACCATTTTAAAAAATATAGAGTATAACAACACTGTGACTTTTAACTACATGTATTACTCCACTTTACAGGTGTTCTATTAAAGGTTAATTAGCATTACAACAGTCATTGTAATGAATGAAAATTATTAGAACCTGTTATTGTATTTGCTCAACGTGAATGTACATGTCAGAGAGTGACATATGCGGAGGCGTAGTTGTGTTTTTTTGTTTTGTTTGTTTTATTCAAAAACATATCAAGATACAAACAAATAAGGCATTTATCTTTTTCACAGAAAAGAATAAGAACTAACAGGGGTTGAGCATAAGCACATTACAGAAATAAACAAACAAAAAGTACTTCATATAAAAGGAAAGAAAAATAGAAAAGGGGCTTATTTCAAATTATCTTAAATAAATCAGGTAACCAAATTAATTTAAGGGCTTTATCATCTTTTATAAGCTTCAGAGACTTGCTTAGTAATTCAAATTCGTTCAGCTAATGATTTATACATGGTTTGGTTTTAAAATACCCGCATTTGTGTATAAATAATTTACCTAATAACAGTAAAATATTCAGCAGAAAATCCATATTACCATTTTCACCAAGGCGTAGTTGTGTTGTTGGTGAGTATGTGTTCACCTGGTGCTGCAGGAAAGAGTTACACGGATGAAGAACTCACGTTTTAGCTAATTCTGTTGTTATTATATTTATTTATTTATGCCAGTAAGACAAACATCTACAGACATTACAGTCGTTATCTGTCTATTGTCACAAATTAAGCCAGGATGAATATATTTCCAGAAATAACATTTGAATTAAATGATGTCTGGTCGTCAGAAACGGATGACGTGGAGACGCCTGGATACTTCAGCGCACACCTGAGGTAACGTGTAGACAAATTAGCAAGCTAGTGTGCACTGTGCGTGTCAGGAAAATGTTTATGTGTTGCTTAGCAACAGTCCAGTATCAGTCCAGTTGCGGAACTATTTCTGTTGGCGTAACCAAATAAATGATGAAATAAACAAACAAATCATAATCTGTTGTTGTTTATTTAACTAATATGGCGCTCGTATAACTCGCACCTATGACCGAATCACAGCCGTGCTGATATTCAGTACATCACTCCCCCTCATGTGATATTGCTTAATTAATCAGAGAATTTTTACAGTCTAAAACATGGAGGAGAACTTTGATTTATTTTTTTCGTTTTGCCTAAAAATAATATTTGTAACCAAACACTGTAAACTCCTTAAAAGCATATACCCAGAGGCCATCTAAAGACATTAGAGCTGAAGTCAGAATTTATCCGTAGCTCCGTCACTGGGAACATGAGGATGATTTAACAGCTTTTCATTGCGTTGAACTGACGACTGAAGTGTTGAAATAAAACTAGTCAGTTTGGTTTTTACATTGTGTTGAACATGTTTAGTGTTCTATAACAGATTCATAAAACTTTTGATTTTATGGACATTTATCAGAATGAAATCATGACCCTAAAACATTTCGAGATAAAGTCAGTTCAACCCAGGTTTCTATCAGGTCCAGAGTCCACAATAAAACAGTACTGAAGGTGACAACCACAACTTCTCTTCTGAAGAATCAATATGTTGAGAAAAATGTTGAAAAAGTTTTGTCTTTTACATCCTGCTGCAGGGCTGCACGAGCATTAGGAGGGATTGTTGGGGGGTTCAGATGAGATTTAGATTAAACTGCAGGTCTGCTGTACATCCATGACTGCAGAGGAGCTGCAGGAAGGTTGAGCTGACACAGGAGGGGTGGAACACATCCTGCAGTGGAAGTGAAGAGAGGCTGGTTTCTACAACAGGACCGTGATCCAAAGCAAACCTGGAAATTTTTCGTGAACCAGTTCAAGAAACGGGTTGAAGCATGTAAATATTCTATGAGCAGGACGGTCATCAGTGCAGTGGTTCAAGAGATGAGCCACACACACACACACACACACACACACGCACCCGCACACGCACGCGCACGCGCGCGCACACGCGCACACACACACACACACACACACACAGACAGACACAAAGAACAGGTGAAAACAAACCTTTATTCCAGATGAGCTTTATTCTCTTGGTAAGCAGTTGACAAACACTGAGAGTGAAGATAAAATACTTTAACTCTATAAATAAATAGAGAATGAATGAGATGCACAGGATTATTCATGAAGGACAAACCCTTGACTGAAGAAGAAATCTGAGAAAACAGAAGCTACATTATTCTTTTTAAAAGCTTGTAGAACCATTAAAAAACGTTTCTGCATAGATAGACTTGTATTCAAAGTTTGTGTTCTAGGTTTGTAAGGATGTTAAAATACCCCAACGTACACTTAATGATATGCACCAAACCTACAGGATTCATGGCTCAAAATACTAGTTTGAAGATTATATATGATCATGTACACAGTGATCTGAGGTGATGACGGATCTCAGAGAAGCTAAGTACAACATGGAGAGGGTGACGAGGAAGCTCATGGTGACTGTGACGGGAGATCAGCTGTTCAGGCTCCAGCCTGAGACCAGACACAGCCTAATCTGTCTTTATTATAATATAATATAATAATATAATAATATAATATAATAAAATAAGACCATGGCAACACTGATGAAACAAGTCATGTATTTGTTCACTTGTGACTAAACTAGTAATAACCCAAAACAAAAAGTCAAAGATGGATCCTGTTCAAACTGCAGCCAGTTAGCTTTGACCTGGAACACAGGTGACCTCAGGTGAACTCAGGTGTGTCAGACACAGAGTACCACTCGTCCTTCCTCAGTATAATGACAGTTTGTAGAGGGAGGAGCTATCACCTGCAGCTGCAGCGTGCTACAACCAATTCCTCATCACAAACACATGATGAAGATTTTGACCTTTATGATGTTACATGTATTATTTAATAATGTAGTGACATGAAGCAGCTTGGCCTAATGTAATATTGGCCTGTAATATTGTTGTTATACCCCAGAAAACAATGACAGACTATTATCATCAATAGCCCAAAGTGCTGTTCAGTTTCACCTGTTACTACACACCTGTAACAGCTGTAGTGATGGCAGCATGTAGCACCAGTGGATGTTGGGGAACTCTGTCCTTCAAAGTCACATCAGTCCCACTGAACGTTTCTCTGCTCAGGTGTTTAGTGCTGCAGGTTGTCAGAAGGTTAAAGACCTGTACATTACCTCTGACTGACTTTTAGCTAGTGACAAGCTGTTTGGATTTCTGTTGCGAGCTACTGTAACTTAGCACACAGCTACATGTTTGGACTAACTGACCCAGAAATGAACCATGAGCAGCAAACCAAGGATCAGTGAAGGAGAACACCAGGTGAAAGGGTTAATACAGGTTACTGCTTCAGAATGGAAATCTGAGGAACCCCGAGTCCGGCTGTGCTTAAGACCACCGCTGCACCGAAGGGTGGGGGAGTGGGGGGGTGGACTGAATGTCAAAATGTTCATCTGAAGAGGAGCTAAAACAAAAGCTTCCAATATCAATTGCAAGACGTTTAATCAGAGCCACGATCGTTCTGTATGATTCCAAAAGAGCCGATAATTAAAATAAAAATATTAAACATTCAAAAATAAACAGGAATAAATATAGGTATATAAAACCCAACTAATTAATGACAAATACTTTTCTGGTAAGAATTTAGCAATATTACTAAAAAATTGACCTTTTTTAAAAGATTTATTTTCATATTGTAATTTTTCGCACTCACACTCCTGTCACTTCCTGTGAGTCGTTAGAGCTGATTCCTGCTCTCAAGCTAATCACCCGAGAAAACAGACTTTTAAAATTGACTCCAATAAACCTTGAAAATATTCTAATGAGGTGAAACAAACAAGTTTTAACTATTTATTTAAATTAATTTAAATCCTTAATAATTAAGGATATTCTATTTATTTTATAATATTTTTATTTATAATATTGGCCTTTTTGGCCCTTCTGTACAAGTGTGACCTGTTTAACTTCTGCTCCTCTCTCCTCTTCCTCCTCCTCCTCCTCCTCCTCTGGCAGCTTCACTCAGCGCCTCTGCTCAAACATCTGGAGAGAAGTGAAGTAACGTGTGGGTGAAGCTGAGCTGTGGAAAACTGTCCTGAGGCATCGAGACACCTGAAATAAGAGCGCTGTGTGTGTGTGTGTGTGTGTGTGTGTGTGTGTGTGTGTGTGTGTGTGTGTGTGTTTGTGTGTGTGTGTGTGTGTGTGCGTACGTGCAGATTTCCATTCTGAAGGAGCACTGGCTCAGATGAAGCTCAAAAGAATCCAGATGTTTCTGAGGAAGAACATCCCATCCTCATCCTCTCTACTCACTGTCAGGAGGACAGGACAGAACCTGGGCTTCCTAAAGTCAACACTGCATTTGAACAACTATTAGTTACTGTCAGCACTACAGTGGGGAAGCTGATCCTACGTGCAGATTTCCATTCTGAAGGAGCACTGGCTCAGATGAAGCTCAAAAGAATCCAGATGTTTCTGAGGAAGAACATCCCATCCTCATCCTCTCTACTCACTGTCAGGAGGACAGGACAGAACCTGGGCTTCCTAAAGTCAACACTGCATTTGAACAACTATTAGTTACTGTCAGCACTACAGTGGGGAAGCTGATCCTACATCTGTGTCTAAAGGCAACTTCAATGTAAAGACAGGATGGGGCTAACTGTTCTCTCTCTGTCTCAAGGCTGCTGACCAATGACAGTGTCTAACCACTTCCTGTATGCCAGGGCGAAGCGTCTCTGCTCGGGGTTGGAGCACCTGTCCAGGACGCCGCTTACAAAGCTGTGCTCAGAGGGCAGGGTGGGGGGGGCCGGCAGCTGGACGCCTCTCTTCAGTCGCTTGCTATCACGCGGGTCTGGTAAGGACGCCCTGTCCACCTCCATAGGTTCACTAACATGCCTCTGTCCGTTCACGCTGTCGCCCCGCCCCGCGCAGCTCTGAGCTCCGCCCTCCGTCAGGTCGGGGTCGCTGTCGCTGAGGTGGACCGACTGGCTGCCTCCATTACTACTGCAGTGGTGCTGGTGGTCCATCCTCCAGTGGTGCCACAGGTAAAACACATGCCGCCTGAGGGGAGGGGGGGAGGGGAGATATAGCCATGTTATTATTGAAATGTTCTGCACTAATACAGATGTAATAGCATGTGGGACATGGTCCTTTTAGCCGTAGAGGGTCTAATACAGCTGAGGCTATTACATCACTAACATCCACCATATGTCATCACAACACAACTGCATTTAACCTTGTTAACGAGGACACACGTCTCATCTCTGACTGCTCACCTTCTCACCTGTCAGGAAGCAGCAAATTAACACTTTAACACACACACACACACACGTCTAACAGCTCCTGGCTGTACCCAGAATATCATCATTCACCCCAACACAGAGGCTTCCAGCTGGATGTGAAGCTGCTGACATGTACTGTCACACCTGGGACACAGGTTTCACTGTGAGGGGTCGACTGAGGTGTGAGAGTGATGGTCTGGCCCTCAGGTCTGATCTGGGAACTGCGTAAAGAGCCTGACGGAGAAGGGGGTTCCTGCAGAACCTAAGGCTCGGCAGGCTACTGCAGGAATGTACTATCTTATATTACAATATTAGAATCTTTTATTACCAACAATTAACTACTCAATTATAGCTGCAGGGAAATTCGTAGTAAATTAGTATTAGAACATGTTATTTCTGTTTTCTCTCAAATATCTGGTCGAGATCTGGTGACTGCGAAGGCCGTAGCATATTAATCCATCTTTATTTTATCTGATAATTATCTAATTATTCTAATTACACAATTTACCCAACACGCAACTCTTAGCAACCACAAGACAGAAAGAAGTATTTGGGTGGAGTAAACCTTTAAAACTACATAGAAATATGGTTCTGAAACTGCAGCCTCTGGTACTGCTAAACGCTAGGGGGCGCTGGCCCGAAAAAGCAGTGTCCTACACATGCGGTCTCGAAACTGTACTGTTGGGCTAAAGAAGGATGCTTGGCCAAAAGGCGGCTGCGGCTCCGGAGGGAAAAATCGGGTCGATCCCTGGCTCCTCCAGTGCACAGGTCAAAGTCCAAGATACTGAACAGAAAATGCCCCTGATGTATCATACAAGTGTGTGTGAGAGTGTGTGGCAGAAAGGAGTCATATGTAGAATAAAGCGCTGTATGAATGTGTGTGTGAATGGGTGAAATCCAGCAATCCCTCACAATATCAGCAAAGAACGGCAGCAAACAAACATCTCAGGGAAGCAGGAGGTTCTTTCTAAGGCTCCATGGCCTGTGCAGTAACTCACATTAACAGCACACTCACTGATTACAGTTTACTGTGCCTGAGTTTCACCTATTTAATGGCATTTAGAACTGATATGAAAACCTCCGTCTTATAATAAGTTGCTGCTAATAGTAAAAGCTTTGTGTCCTTATTACTGGTGGCCTCACCTGTGACTCCAGAGGGTCTCGTGTCCAGGGAAGGACTGGATCAGGTCTGAGCACAGCTCCATCTCCTGGTGGAAGAGCTGCAGGACCGTGGTGGAGCTGGGCTGCCTCTCCTCCTCCCCCGCTGCCTCTGCGCCTGACAACTCCCCGTTAGCCTGGGCGTGGCTGTGATGGAGGGGGCTGGTGCTGGGGTCTGTGCTGGAACGGTGCTGCGGTGAACAGGTGGTAGTGGTAGTGGTGGTGGTGGTGGTGGTGGTGGTGGTGGTGGAGGTGGTGGTGGAGGTGGTGGAAGTGGTGGAAGTGGTGGAAGCTGGAGTCTGGGAGAGCTCAGTGATCAGCTCCTTGAGCAGGAACTGGCGGTAGTGGAAGCCACTGTGGTCAGACACATGCATGGACACCCAGAGGCGCATCGAGGACAGCTCATCATGGAAAACCTGCACACATTGAGAGAGCTCAGGTGAAATACAGCAGCTGTTTGGGAGGTTAGATCCAGGTCAGACTACAACAGAATAGACAAGAACAAAGACATTTGGTTTTCCAGCTTCTGTACATGATGCAATAAAAGGTCAATAATAAATAGGTTAGAAATCAACAATAACAGATAAAAAGGCAGTGAAGTGACAGACAGTATTAGCAGTGTCTGGTAGTGAACAGTACAGGAGCACCAGACCAAACACCATGAGGTGAATGTCTTCATCCCTGAGAAATGAGGACATTAACTACAGTGTAGTGCAGCATGTGGAGGACGCCGGGTTCAGAGCAGCTCTGGGAAAGAAGCCATTTCTCAGGTGAAGCGTTCACACAGACGATGACCTGGGTGTGTAGAGTCCTCACAGTGTGAGCTGCGAACGTCCTCCAGACCTGGAGCTGGAGCTGGAACTGGAGCCCTGACACCACGCAGAGATGCCGTATGTTAGGATGCTCTGTGGTGCAGCAGGAGAAGGTCACCAGCTGCTGCTGGAGAGGACCGGCTTACTTTCTTTCCTAACCAGTGCAGTGGTGTTAGTGGACCATGTGAGGTCCTCTGAGATGTGAATGTCCAGAGTCCTGGAGTTGGACTCTCTCTCATTCTGTCTCCACTCCTCCCCTCCTGTGACTCTCTGACATTGACGATGACCTTGTTGGTCTTTGCTGTCTTCAGGGACAGGTTGTTTTCTGAGCACCAGCTCACCTGGTTCTGCACCTCTGCTCTGTGGGCTGATTCATCAGCATCTTGTCGTTTGCAAACTTTAGGATGGTGTTAGTGAAGAACGCAGATGTGTGAAGAGCAGAGGATGGAGCTCAGTGTTATAGTACAATATAACTCTTAAATTAAATTGAGTCTACCTTTGATAATGACCATCAATAATCCAGTGTTTGACTTCATTATCAGAACTAGAATCACCGCCTCACAGTTGTCTGCCTCCTTCATTCAGACTAGTTTCAGATTACATCCCTGTTTGTCCAGAGTCATATAAAATATGAACCACTTGTGTGAAATTTTGTCATAATAGCTGTGTGAAGTCTTGAGTTACAGCTAAAAAGTGTTTTATGCGGTCATAGTTAGCTTGACCTTTGACCACCAAAGTCTAACCAGTTCATCCTCGAGTCCAAGTGAACATTTGTACTCTCCTTGATCCACAGTTCAATCTCTTTTACATTTACTTGTTGTGACTATTGAAGTTTCCTATGATGCCTGGCGTGTGTGTGTGTGTGTGTGTGTGTGTGTGTGTGTGTGTGTGTGTGTGTGTGTGTGTGTGTGTGGATAGTGAGGACAGTGAGGACAGTCTGTGATGTAAAATACAGGACAAATGAAGAATCATGTTTGTCACAGAACTTTACAATAAAACAACCAGCAGTTCAATGAACTGCTCTGTTTTGATTATTTAATATATTTTCAATGCACGTCAGTGGATCTTATGTTTTCAATGTAAGTAAATACCAGTAAACAGTAACTTGTAACCACTTTGCCTGCAATACACACACAGCATAGCAATCCCTGTACTGTAACCAAAGACACTGTTCATAGGGCCATGTCGGCACAAAGGTGGTCAGATGTTTATGAAATTCGGGGGGATCACTGGACAGATCATAAATGACTTTATCTATATTTATTAAATTGGGCTGTTTTGGATGTTCATGTTACAAACACAGTTCTGAGGACTTTAGAATGTTCAAAAACTCACAAAACTTTGTAAAAATATTTGTACTTATGAACAAACTGCACAGATTGACTTCTCTTTAACAGCATGTGCTTTGCACCATTTATTTAAAAATACTATATGTCAATAGTAACAGTGCAACAGCTGTAAAGTTTGAGCAACTTTGAAAAACTTTGGGATAATTATAATTTGGAAAAAAAGATTTGCACATATACAATATGTGCTTTGCACCATATTTCTCTATAAAAGTATGTGCAATGTAAAACACAGCTGTAAACAATACTGCAATACTATAGCAATGTTTAAATGTTTCCTTCTGAAAAACAGATAATAATGGGAAAAAAAAATATTGAAGATATAGATACATAAAATACAGTAACATTGAAGTGCTTAAAGAACTGGTGAACTGAAGTTTAAAGTGAAATCAAGAAGGCCACGATCACTTATTTCTTCATTCTTTTTGGGTTGTAAACAAAGGAATTGTGAAGGACAGATCATGTTCAGCAATGAACATGCACACACGTATTTTTTGATCGCAGACACGGTCAGTCATTGATGACTGAGTGTCAACCGTAATGGTTGCTCCTGGTAACGTAGTTGTATGCTGGAGTGCCATGACAGAGGAATGTCATGTTTCACAGTAGCCCCCGCAGTAGGATTCTCCTGGGTGTCTGAAATTTGGGTGGCATGTGTATCCTATGGAGATCTACAAAAACCCCATATCCTAAACCCAACCAGAAGTCCGCCATTTTTAATTTATTCTACAATTTTGGTGCAAATTTTCCCCATTTCCAGGTGTCATACTTAAACGAACTCCTCCTAGGGAGTCAATCAGATCGACATCATATTTGCTCAGTCTAATCTAAAGACCTTTTCAATGCTAAATTGCTAAAGCGTTTGAATTTTCATTGGAGGACCTGCCAGTGGCGGCATGGCAAATTTCAAAGTATTCGCCATGAAAGCGGAAGTTGCTATAACTCCAACATGTATGTCAAAACTGCCCCAAACTTTCCATGTAGGATGACTGTCCCCCACACTGAAGACATCTGCATGGTAAAATGAAGTCATAGTCATAGCGCCACCTACTGGACACAGGAAATAACCCTTGAGAGACAATCATCATTTGATTTACATGAGATTTTCAAGGTCTCGTCTGCACTTCATATAGAGGCAGAAGTTATATGCTGTGCGTTTAAATTGTGTTGACCCAGTAAGGTTTAGCGTCGCCTAAATACTGTTTACTTTGTGATTGTTTAGTTAACACTTAGACAAATAAAAATATGTATATATTTTATCCAAATATTTGACCAAGAATTGATAAGGACCAGGATCAATAAAATTCAGATGATTCCCATCCCTTTATATGATGACTTTAAACTTAGACCATCAGGAAGTGTTTGAGACACGGCATCAGGAAGTCAGTTTAACGTGTGTATAGATGAATACACTCTGACCTGATGGATGCTGTTTGCATATACTGTGTGTAAATAAACTGTTTACTGTGTTTGTGAACTGACAACAAACTGGTCCAAATACACTATTTTGAACTGAACTGAACTGAACGCTCCTTGTTAGCAGGTTGTCATATGACAAATTAAAAACAATAAAAGCCACTCTTCCTCATCCTACCTTGACGTTGCCATTGGCCATGTGCTGCAGCACCCAGATGCGGTGGGACCAGGCGTTGTAGTTGCTGGGATAGCGGCAGGCGGCTTCGGAGCACACCTTCATCTCCTGGTGGAGCGTCCTGGCCAGGTGATCACTGAGCTGCTGGCTCCTCCCTCCATCAGCCTGCTCCACTTCACCCTGCTGCTGCTTCCTGTTGCGGCCCACAGCAGACACCTGACGCAGGATCTGCTGCAGCACCCAGCGTCTGCAGGGAGACATCAGCTGCTGAGTGACATCACCTGGCGTGCAGGCAGGGCAGTTACTACTGTCAATGATTAACTTGTTAATAATCTAATTGATTAAAGACACATGAACAGAGGAGGAGCTGCACTGTGTAGTACCTGGTTGTACCACTAGGTGCCTCTTACTGTTCAATGAGATGGAGTTACAGGTGTTTACTGACTAATTATAAAGCTAAGCGTTGAGATGCTCGCATCCAGCTGTTTGGCAGCTGTCTGTTTCAGCCTCAGTCCTTAACAGGAGCAGAAGCAGCTGCTCGGCTGACGCAGGCTGGGAGTGCAGCACACACACGCGTGCGCACACGCACACACACAGTGCATGCAGCACACAATTAGCTCTGTCAGGCTGCAGTTTGTAGTGATACAAATATTAAAGTAAAGCACTGGGACAGAGATGGAGAGGAGGAGTTATTTTCAGAGTTTAAGAGATGCTTCAAAGAGTCTTCAGCCTGATCATGACCACAGTCTCTCTCCTCTCTCTCCCAGTCCATCTTTCACATTGTTGTCAGTTGGCTTTTTTGGGATTGTTACTGGCTAAAATACTTGATTTCTGGGCAGCTTTTCTAAAAAATTGCAATGCATGTTGTGATGCTTTTAGATGGTTTTTTTGCAATGAAACTGTGGGAACAAATAAAAATTGAAATATTCTATTTCATCTGGAGAAAAAAGGAGCAGAGCGTCGTTCCAGTGGCTCCGGCAGCTCTACACCTGTGGTTCCACCACAATGTTGCACGCAGTGCAAAATAATTTAACCCTGCTTTGTGTAAAACATCGGGGAAGTGCNGATTGCAATGCATGTTGTGATGCTTTTAGATGGTTTTTTTTGCAATGAAACTGTGGGAGCAAATAAAAATTGAAATATTTTATTTCATCTGGAGAAAAAAGGAGCAGAGCGTCGTTCCAGTGGCTCCGGCAGCTCTACACCTGTGGTTCCACCACAATGTTGCACGCAGTGCAAAACAATTTAACCCTGCTTTGTGTAAAACATCGGGGAAGTGCTTTACATGGTCTGTAACAGTAATTTTTGTTGGTAAATGTGAGATGCTCATGTCACACATGTCTGCAGCTTCACAACATTCTTCAAGCCAGGAACAAGGAAGTGAGTTTAGTGATGTACATCAAGGTTTTGCGCATGGACTGGTGTGATTGTTTCAACTCGTGGGAAACTATGATGATTGGTCAAATTTGCGAAAGAGTTGTAGTGACTGGACAAAAATGCAAGGTCGCGCAGAATTCACAGGGATTGGTTGAATTAAATTGCATTAATTATTGTGATCCCAACATTCTGGAGGGACTGTGTTGTGATGTTAGCCGTGTACACTAGCTCATGTGTTAACAAAATGACACGCTGTTGATGTGCGACGTAGTCACGGACAGGCATGTTGAACAGAGTTTCGGTTCCCAACCGGACTCCAACAGCTGCTGTCATTCATAAACGCTGCTCAGTTACCAACCGTTTCAGCCAACACACTGTAGTGACTGTAATATTTGGAGGCGTTCAGTGAAGAACAGGGTGGGACGGTTAAGGCAAATACCACAGAGGTGCAGTGTCCAACTGGATCTCTACATTACAGGTGTTACAGTACAGTGGCTAATGAGGACGTTTCCTATTTGCATTTCCTATCCTGTCTTTACGCTGACTGCCCCAAAAACACAAATGAACAACAACAGTGCCCTCTGCAGCCAAGTCTTACCGGTGTATCCACGTCTCCGGGCTCTTGGGGAACTTGGTGAGGGCCAGCTTGCCCAGGTAGAGGTCCTTCTCTGGGTTAAGAACTCCGCACTGCAGCAGCTCCTTCCTGCAACAACAATCAGCCACACATTAGGCTGCTTTCACACGAACAGAAACCCTGTTCAGACCTGGTATTAACATCCGTCTCAGGTGACCTGATCACAAGTGGTCAGCTCTAAGTTCAGGTGTGAATGCACCAAGACACAATGAGGACACATTTGAGATCCGATCACTCAGACCACATTCAGAGGTGGTCTGAGCCACATGTGGCCACATTCTTTTAACAGTGTGAACACAAATGCATCCTGGGCCACATTGGGGGGTTGTTGTTTCATATAAAAGGTGAGACAATTGAATACAATCTGTGAATGGATCTGAAGCTAACCAGTGGCTTGAAATACTCTGGGAAGTTCTCACAGCAGCTACTGTTTTATCTTTCACTGTGACCATTTGCAGGTACACAGCAGAAACACAGTAGAGTACAGAGGAATCCACCAGGTAAGGTGTGATGCTCTGTATCTGATTGGCCAACGCAGCGCCTTGCTGGATGACATCACATTTCATTGCAGCAAAAGCTGAACCAGATTCAACTTTTTTTAAAGCACATCGTAGTGTTGTTCTTTTCAAATGAATGAGAATGGCTGCAGGGTGTGAGCGTGGCTGCACAGCAGACTACAGTCTGTGTTGTGTTGGGCTGAGATCAGCTTTGACTATATGGTCGTCTTTTGTGTAAAGATGTCATCCACTTGTTGTACACAGCTGACGTTCATAAGAACAAATGTGTGTAGTTGTGCTGGTGAATCTGTACCTGACATTCCAAGCAGTGGTGAAGTCTGGGTTCAGCAGCAGCAGTGTGCAGGTGATATCCACTAAAGCTGAGGACACACAAACACCATCTGTTAGCTTCTCTAGTTTTCTTCATTATTATATAACATTACATTTATTCAGTTACCGGCAGGTCCTTGGCTCTCAGTACTGGAGAAATTATGAAAATAGATTTCCTATGTTTTATTACAACATGAAAGTTCTCTGGCACATTTTATCTCATCAACTCCGTTTCTGATTAAGACATTCGTCTATAATGCATTCTCACTGTTCGCAGCGCAGCAGTTCATCTGCATCTCTCTCTCTCTCTCTGAACCTGTGTGTATCAAGGGCGGGGCAGCTCTGCCACACACTGTAGCACCATAAAAACACACACAGACTGCTCTTTGTGACAATGCTGGAGAGGACTAAACGTTCTAAGTGTGGTCAACGGTTTTGCATTTCAGAGCAGAAACACAAGCAATCTCCAGAAACATCCAGGGAAAGTCTGTTCCAGGTGTTCCAGGTGTGTTTGTGCCACTACTGCACAGTAAAATACTGTGAAAGAGGTCCTGTTGTAAATCACTGTGTATTACATTTACATCGTTACAAAATCAGCCTGTTAGTAGTGATCTGTTCAAAACAATGTTGGTGGAGTTTATTACAACAGAATGTTAATTGAGTATATGTGGAAAAAATAAGCAATGTTAATTCAGTTATTTTATTTTTTTTCCTCTTACAATATAAAAAAAAGGTCCAATGAGAGAACTGTTAAAGTACCGGGTCAATAAGCAGTATCAGTAAAAGTAGTACTACAATTTAAATCCTAACCATACCCATCCGTAGTAAGAGCCTTAGATAAACAGCATCACCAGGACACAATCTTCACTTATCTAAAACTATAATAATACAAAAACTAAAATAAAACAGGGTGTCATCTCGTCATATTAACGACTGAGACCTGCCATTAAAAACACTTATTAAAATAGAAAAAAAAAACAACAAAAAAAAATGTATGTATGCAGTTGGGTCAGAGTTTTTGTCGAGGCTTCTGTACATAACAAGCACATTCTGTGCATCAGTAGCTGCCACATCCCATCACTGCTGCAGTATATCCTGCTTGTTACTTATGCTGCAGTTCTGAGGTTAAAGAAGACAATGAAACCGGTCCCAGTACTCTCTGTACAGATATGACATACAAGTCACAATAAATACACCATCTCTGAATACAACAACATATCTAATCATCTGACTGTAACCAGGCAGACGTTGAGCGAGTTCAGTTACCTTCCCTGTCCAGCCAGTGTTTGCGCTGGCGGTAGAGCAGCAGTTTGTTGTGGACATATGGCAGCAGGAACTTGACACACCAGCTCTCTACACCCAGCTTGTTCTCCACCAACACAATGGGACTGCGGTTGTAACGAGCCTCTGGACATGGGATCACGCCGATCTCGTCACTGAGGGAGGAGACGGAGAGAGTGAGGCCTCACGGAGGTTTACACCTGTTGTCTATTAACATGGAAGAATCACTGACATCACATCATGTGGCTTCAAATCACATTCTCAGGGACAGCTCGACAGTTTCTGAAAGACCTTTTGTTCAAATGCTGAGACACAATCAGTCACAGCTCAGCTTGGTTTTCTTTGTGCTTTTTTTGTTTGTTTTGTTCTTGTAGGATATCTGACTAAGACTTTTTCTTAAAAGGGACTATTTGTAAATTTTCTCTGCCGCCAAGTGTGGTTTCTTGTCAGGATCAGGTTGTGGAGATTGTCACATGACAAGAGCTTCAGCCATCGTTGTGTTTTCAAGACAAGAGGTTATAATATGTCCTCTAAGCAGGACTTCCAGGCAGATTGGACTGAGCTGGGGCTAGCTGGTTAGCACGCTAACTTCAGTAGAAGAAAAAAGATGATAGAGACAAGAGTTAACATTTGCATTGCTTTCCACTTCTGGAGACAGTGTTTAGTGAGTAAAGTAATGAAGTTTGATGCTGAATTCACTATGTTTCTCCTAGTGTGGTACATAAACAGCTGTTAATACTAATGGCTATGTAGCAATAGCAAAACTTATAATTAGCTCCATAAAGGTCCTTTTACACTGTGATTAACAGGTTCATGTCATGATGTCTTACTGTGAGATGTGTATAGTAAAATCTTGGTCACAAATGAATCTGTCAGACTACACGATATTAATTTGGGGGCATATTAAGAGGTTGTGATGAATGATTCTTAGTATTATGATGTTAATAAATATGAGCAAACAGAGACTCGTTTTTTTACTACAAACATGGTGCTTGTTGTAAATATGTACAGGCCAAGTAAAAGTGTTATCCCCTTTTTTATGACCAGTGTTATGATGATGGCATGGGTTGTAGCAGGTCACACTGTGAAAACTAGATCCTTTCACATCAGTCAACTGTTTTTGTCTTTGTTCTCCAAAGATCTAAACCGGCTGTTCAGGACCACAGCTGACCAACAACCAGAGGTTTCAGCTTGTTTCTCACGGCTGTTACCTTTCATTAGGACAGTCCAGCATCCCTCGGTCCATGAGGGTCTCCAGCCGTCTCTTAAAAACAGACTAACTGAGTCCTTTTCTGAATTTCTGGTCCTGGTCTCCACAGCTCACATTCCTGCTTCATTAGTTATCAGAGACAGATGAACCGCTAACAGGTAACGTCGGCTGGTGTCACTAGCTAAACCTGGCAGCCTGCTGCAGGTTTACCTCAATTAAAGAGACCGAGGCAGCAATAAAAAGACATAGAAATTAATTAATTACTAAATGACTTGATCTCACCGTTAATGAGCTAGCGACACTGGCCCGTGCAGGATGTAGTAGATTTGACAGCAGCCTTATCACGTCAAAAGGTTATCGAGCTAACTGCACCAAACACAACAGCGTTAGCTTCATCTGTTAACGAGCACATAGGAAACAGTTTCCGCGGACGTGTTCCGAACAAACACGTTATCTGTCTAACGGTACAAACAAACAGCTGAGCTAGCTCACTAAACTGTCAACTTTCTGTGGACCGCTCTGATTCCAGGTGATAGTCCGAGCCCACACAGTTGAATAGCTGGATGAAGATGGATGTGACATCGGACACTGTCAATGGATGTGACCGTGGCCACTCCGGTCTGTCTGGGTTCTTCACGGTTAGCTTTACTTACATGTTGGGGTTTCTCTTGAAGGCATTAGTGATGTCTTTGACAACTCTCTGGACCAGGACGTCCACCTCCTCCTCCGACTCCGCCATTTTTAGAACATCCAGTGACGTCACACAGACAAAGATCGTTTTCCGGTTTAAAAAAACAATAATACGGAAGCCTGGAAAAGCCATAAGTAAAGATACTGCCGAGGCTCGTATCTAATGGGGGCTAGCAGCAAGGCTGCGTTTAATGCGTTCACTTGAGGAAAAAAAAGTCTGCTCTTTTTTTCTGAGAAAAGTTTTCATGAGAAATCTAAATACTGCTCTATTTTTTTCAATTAACATGATTATTATAGAAATATCTCGTTAATTACAGTTTACAGTTTAGTTTATTTCGGTCATTCGGTAAAACTCAGATACACTGGTAGGTAGACAATAAATAAACATTAGGTTATTTATTTTATTTTATTTATTTGTGATAATTATTTTGTTCATTTCTGGGGCTCACTAGCATTCAACCTAATGTAACCCATCTTTGTAGCAGTATTTGTGACTGGGATTACTCAAGAGTCCCTGTTAATTTACATGTAGTATAAATCTTCTCTACAGAATCATCTAATGCATCATTTTTTCCACATAATGATACCTGCAATTTATATCTTTTGCTTTGTAAATCTGCTTTACAGTGTCTCACTGTACTCACTGGAGATAAGATTAAAATACTGCAGTGCATGCAACACAGAGACAGACAAAAACTCCCTGGTGTGATCTAATATTGAAAAAGAAAATCTTGAAAAGACTAAGTGTTGGGGAAATGAAACAGCCTGACAGTCTCCCGTTGACTCCCCCACCTGAAGTGAAGCCTGCAACTTCACTTTCAAACAGCGTTACATAAGAGATGGAGAGCATCTGTGGAAAAAGTGTGTTATCCTGATGTGGGGGAACCACAGTGGGGGAGTCGACTGTTTTCTGGCCAGAAACTGTGAAAACTATTGATTCAACCTGCTTCCCTCTTCTGTTGTAAGCAGCACAATGACACTACATTTATTGTCTCCAGCAGAAGACACTCAGGTCCTTTATAAATGATCTCAATCCAGAGTCAGTCCACATCAAAGTGTAAAATCTACTCATTTCTTCATGTATTCTTCTTGTGTTGAGTGTTGGATTAATCAAACCCAGGATTAGTGGTGCAATCTGCCACCTTGATGTTTTATTACACACACATGGCCATTTAAATCCCTTGATCATTAATCTCTGTGTCTCATTCTGACCAGTTACTGTTTGTAAATTTTACTTTAACTTCATGAGTTAAATGAGAAACACACAATCTTTTCCAGCTTCTTCTATTGTCCAGTTTGGTTTCCTAGGTTACTGTGCCCTGGTGTCTAAGATGCAAATGCAAAAACAATGGTGTTTTGCAGTGCTGGTCCCGCTTGTACTTTTATCTAGTTGCTATCTTGTGCAACACAGCACTAATCCACCAATATGAGCAAAGGAAATAATTCTGGTGATTCCCTGACCTGCGGTACAACTTCCTGCAGTACAAGCCAGGACATATTTTACATGTGTTGGAACTGGATGTTTGTTCTCCAAGAGACTCAGCCCCACCTTCTCTTTCTCTCTCTCTCTCTCTCTCTCTCTCTCTCTCCCTGTATGAATTGTGTCCTTGTCTCCGTGCTTGGCTTTGCTTTTTGTGTTTGTGTAGTCTGTCATCTCACCAGGTCTTCATGGTGGAAAGGAGGTCATGTGGCTCAGGTTCAGTCTGTTTGACGGCACCTGGAAGTTGGTCGACGTCCTCCTGGATCACTTTCTTAATTAACGTTCACGATCTATCTTTAATCTGTCTTTCCAGGATATAGTTAGTTAGTTATAGAGTTTCTCAACCTTTACAGTGATCTGACGACACAACAACTGATACTGATAATGAATTAAGTTCCACTCTCTCCCTGCTAAGTGCTTTCCTATCTAAAATCTTGACAGAACATTGTGCTATTGTGATAGCTGACCATCACTACCCTTCAGTTATATTGTTTTGAATATTTCAGTAATCATCTGCCAATAGTCAGTGTTATGTAGCTCACAGTTAAACCATGGTGGAGACTGGTCTGACAGAATCCAGCATCATATGTTTCTGTGACTTCTACTAACTGAAAACTGACCTCCTCACAGGAACTGGACTTGATCTGGTGCATTCATTGAACGCACAGGCTGTGACCTCTACGGGTTAATTAGTGAGCTTAAGAGGTGCTGGTAGGGGTTTTCTTGTTTAAACTTTGGACAGAGCCAGGCCAGTTGTTTCCCCCACCTCCATACTGTATGCTAAGCTAGGCTAACCACAACCAACATGCTAATACACACACATGGGATTGAAATGTTGTTATTTTTAGACCTGTAAGGCTTTAAAATAACAGTGCAATCTCTGTCGCCTTGTATTTTGAATGCAATGTTTGGGTAAAGTGACTTTAGGTCAAACTACTGTATGAGGACAAGCTGAGGGGAACTATTCTTTCCAGCTGTCAGACTCTGGGGGACCTTTCCCTACACTGGAACTTCAGCTCTGTTTTGTTTGGGTCTGATTCATTAAAGAAAGCCGACCAACACAAATGGCTTGAATTATCCATCAGGATTTGACTTCAGTGAGTTTAACAAATGTGACAATCCTGATAAACACACTGCAGGATTTATGAATTAGTTTCATGCCAAGTAAAACTCAAGTAATGAAAATATAAAAACTGACTAGACACTATTGTCTGTTTTTCAAAGCGCACCGCAGTTTGATTCAAATACGTTCCTGAACCTAAAGCAATAGTTAGTTCCTACAGAAATGATCATTTAAGGAAACATCAGACTTCCAGGATCATCATGTCTTTAAAAGAAAAATCAGTCAACCACGAGAAAGAGAAAAACTCTATCATTGTGTTTCAGAATAGTTTAAGGTGGAGTGCGGGGGGGTGGAGTGAGAGAGAGAGAGAGAGAGAGAGAGAGAGAGACGGCCAAACATGTCAGCATTTTAAATGTTATGATTGATATCTTTCATGTACATTTTCCCCCCTAATTCTGATTTCAGAATTATTATTTTGCAATTCTAATTTTAGCCTCATTTATCTGACTCCTTCAACTTCTATCAAGTTTGCTTCAGAAATGAAAGAGTTACTAAAACCATCACAGTAGAGTTATTCTTTTTTGTTGCCTTGCCAGAGAAAAGGTTAGCTGAAGACCTCGCAGCTGTGTGTTTGTTTAGAAAGTGGCAGGTAAATTAACCAATCACATTTTGATTTACGGTGGGTGGGACCAAAAATCACTGCCCCAGGCCAGAGACAGTGCAGAGAGGGGATGAAAGCGCTTGAAATCATTTCCTGTATCTAGGTTTCACCACTGCCCCTTCCCTTTAGGAGACCAGCAGCAGGTCCTGAGTCTGTTCACTCCACTAGGAGAAATGAACCTGATCACAGAATTTGACTGATAGTCACCAAAGTAAACACTGGACCAGTTATTTAAAAACCACATATCTACCAAATATTCCGACACTAAAATGTCATTTTTCAGACGGGAGACCCGTCTGTGTCTCAGCATCACAGATACTCTTCTCTCTTTTGGTTCTGGTTTGGTTTCACGGTTTCAACAACCAGATAAATAGACATTTGAAGGGATTTATACGTGAAACTATGAATTAAAGGTCAGCTCCTCACCTCACCAAATATCCAGACAGAATAAAGCATGAACATGCGTGTAGTGTGAATCATTTTTTCTATGATCAGCAGGTAATAAATAGTTTGTCTGTTGTGCAAATTCACTGCCCTCAAATTAAAAGCCCTTAGCAGAGGTGATGGTTAAAACTTTTTTACATTCAAACAAGTTGGATGAATAATAAAATGTATAATTGCAGATCAGTGGCAATAACTCATCTGACATACTATACCATAATGTTAAAAATAACCACTGAGCAGGTCTACATCAGACAAATAGACTTTTGTTGAGTTTGATATAGAACAGGTATATTTATATTTTATATTTTTGCAGCTTGGCTGTGTTGTGGGACTCCTGCCCGCCCAGCAGCAGCGGGAGAGCAGCGACCAACAGAACAATCATATTCAAGCTGTGGTATTGATATAGTACAACAGAGATAATCAATACTCAATACTCAAAGCTTCCCTTCACGGAGGCAACACCTCTGTCCATGTCCTGAAAAAACACTGGCTGTGGTCACAGTGACCACCTGTTGTCTGTATGGATGCTTTAATAATCTATGTTTTTTATAGTCCAGGTCTCAGGAACCTGACCAGACGTCTAAACTTTCCTCTCTGACAGTAGAGTCATATCTCAGTTTTATTCTGCTGAAATATATAATAATTATTAAAAATAATAATAATAATAATAATAAAATATATAATAAGGATTTATTCTCTAATTTTTTTGATTTTTTGATACAAAGATGATCTTCTTTTAAGTATTTTAAAAAATATGAAAAAAATACACTAATCATTACGTAGGGTAAGCTAAGATAATATATCTTATTATAGAATTATTACTGCTACAATCAACATAGAACAAAGTATTATGGTATGAAAACCCATAGTTTTAATTTGACCAAGTATCCTGGATCATATGTACGTATGGGGATTTGTAACAAACTATTGAACATCGGTTGGAAATTCAAGTTCTCCAATAAAGATGTTCTCAGTGGTTCTCAGGGAAGCAAGGAGACAGGATGAGCGAGAGAAAAGCCACAGTCAAGGCAACTTTATTGATGTATGAAGCTCCTCAAACAGTTTGACCCATTTTTCTTTCTCCCCAAACAAAATATAATAATAACTTTATTTATATAGAACCTTTTAAAAACATAGTTTACAAAGTGCTTTGACAAATGAATCAAAAACTTTGACTATCAAAAGCAGGACAGAAATAAGGCCGAATTACAGAAGGAGGACAAATAATACACTTCAGTATAAATAAGGACAATTAGGGGGAGGAAATGCTATAAATATACATACACACACACACACACACACACACACACACACACACACACACACACACAAATACACACAAACACAATAAAAGCAATAAAAGGGCGACCTGGAGACGATAAAAGACATCACATAAAAGCA